CTTTGGGCCAAACACCAGGAGACGGTGAGTTCTAGTCCAGCCTGAGGTATGAAAGCTAGCTGGGTGACTTTGGGCCAAACACCAGGAGATGGTGAGTTCTAGTCCAGCCTGAGGCATGAACGCCGACTGAGTGACTCTGGCCAATCCTTCCCTCAGCTCAACCCACCTCACAGGATTGTTGGGGGTGGGGAAAACAGGAGAAGGAAAGCATCGTGCGTGTTGGCTGCCTTGAGTTATTTATAAAAATAATACCGGGGGGGATATAAATAAATAAAATGGACAGACAGACGGACAGAACCCAGCTGGATGCCCTCCCATCCTCCCATCCTTACCTGACATCCTTCCCAACCGTCATGGAGGCAATCACTTTCTTCACAGCCTCCCTTTTCTTCTCCTTCTTGTCGCTGTTCAGTTCAGCCTTCAGTTCAAATATTTCCCCTGGAAAAGAATTTGGATTTGCAAATACAGGGGAGTCCTCGGCTTAACGGCCACAAGTGGAGCCCTGAATGGATTGACCGGCCACCTCGTTCCGAAGCCAAACAATTAAAAAACGGAATAATTTTCTCTGCGAATCACCCAGCAGTCAAACGCTTCATTTCCGCTGCTTAAAGCAAGACCATTTTCAAAGTAAGTTTGGGCCAAGTTTACGATCTTTCTCGCCGGTCCTTAAGCGAATCGCCCCTGCTGGGATTCACAGGCCATGGTTCTACTTGGAATTCTTTGGTTTCGGAACGAGATTGTCGGCAAAATAAATTTAATTTAACGCATAAAGTGAAATAACTCCCTGAGCCAAAGCAACCCTTGCCCTGTTTCATCCTAAACTTGGGTGTTCTCTGCGAATGCAACCTCGGGTCTACCTGGACCAGGACCACACCCAGCCAATCCCAGGTGCCCCCCCCACCCCAGTTACCTTTTTTGGTGGTGGTGAAATACTTGGAGTCACTCATCTTGATGGCTGGTTGGTTTGGTCACCTCTGGAGACAGTAAAAGAGAGGTAAGCTGGAAAATGAGGCCCCGGGTTTAAAACAACTGGTATTTCTCAAGATATTAGCAGTAGGAGAGGGAAGGTCAAGAGAAGGAAGGAAGGAAGGAAGGAAGGAAGGAAGGAAGGAAGGAAGGAAGGAAGGAAGGAAGGAAGGAAGGAAGGAAGGAAGGAAGGA